CGCTGAAGTTCCTCGGAAAGAAATTTTACGGGAAATTATCAAACAAGCAGATACGTTAGAACCAGATCGGCAATGGGTGTCTGGAAACTTATCACTTCTGTAGAGAGAGAAATATTTGTGAGAACATGTTTAGAGACGCGTGACTTCTGGAGAAATAAGTCATAGTGAGGGCGTGTCTGGATACGAATTTCTTCTTGCTGAGTAAGTCATGGTGAGGGAGTGTCTGGAGACACGATTTCTAGAGACAAGTCATTGTGTGACGGATGATTTGCAGCTTGATTTCACAAAACACTGGAGCCGAGCCCGACTTAATTGTTAGCGTGCCAGATTTTAAATTCAATAATTCCATGTTTGCGTCTCATTGCCGCAAAAACCCGCTCTGTACTTAAGTGCCGTGGATGCGCTAGAAGACTGACAGTTATCCCACTATTCAGTTATACAAGAATAATTCAACAGTTGGAGTTGGGTTTTACAAACTCAACAGTCCACACTGTGTGCTGTTCGCGGATTAGTTTTTCTTTCCACTTATTCGACGAAGTAATATTTACCAAAAAAAAAAAACCTTGTGAGAAGACTCTTGGGGAAATAAGTTTCAAGTTTTAATTTAATAGATATAACATTATACCCATAAATGACATTGTCAGGAGGCCAGTGAGCTTTAATGTCCTGAAATTATTCATACTTGACATAAACTGTTTTAGGGATGTTTTTTTATATTTATATATTGAATTTATAATATGGAAACTTGAATAAGAAAATCGCCACCTGTAGCATAGCGGTATGTCTGCAGACTTACAATGCTAGAATCCGGGTTTCGATACCCGTGGTGGGCAGAGCGCAGATAGCCTATTGTGTCGCTTTGTGCTTAATTACAAACAAACAGTAGGAAAATCAACTGAAATGTTACTGAATGGTTGGAGTTAGCTTTGAAACACATACTCAAGAGAGTGCATTTATCCGACTGATAAAATTATACAAATCTGTGGATTTAGGTAATTCTGCGTAAACAAAAAATATCACAAAGCTCTGACGTTTAATTATATTCCGTAAAAATGTAAAAGTTTGTAGTAATGTTTATCTATGATGGTGTATGTTTTTGACTAAAATAATATATTATACATTCATTCATTTGCGTGTTCTAGGTGGTGCTGACAATAATAAAGGAAAAAGCAAAAAGTGGAAGAAACTTCTACAGTTTCCACACATATCATTATGCTTAGATTTAAAGAATCAAATAGGTAAGCGTTTATTTTTAAGACAATTTTCTGTTATTAAAGTGTAATTATAACAAATATTACCCTTTTTTGTGTCACAAAACGATCTATTAACATAAACTGCTCACACACACACGCAGAAAAATATTGGAAGTGTTTCACATCAACATTATTACATATGTAGGCCTAACTATTGAACCACGAGAAAAAAAAACTGGTTGGGGTCAGTGGGTTAATTGACGGTTTAGTCAACTCTTACAACCCATCATTAGACGTGACATACATTTCTTTGCTTTACAAGCTACAGTTTAACTTTAGTTAAGCACCATTTGTTTATATTTGCAATATGGCCATAAGTTTTCTGTTGCTGTTTTAACTTTTATTTTTGTTTGTAAAGAACAAACAAAACAGTAGTTACTGTAACTGCTGCTCATCACTTGGCATTAATTTTCCGCGTTAGACTAAGTGTGTTGTTTAAGTATTGTTTTAATATTTTCCCATAAGGATGTAGGCTCCATCTATTGAGTGTTATTCAAGGCAGAAATCAAAACTGAAAAGAAGATAAGGCTGGTATGGGTATGAAAACCTTAATTAAAATAACGTACGAGAACAACGTTTTGAACTTCATAGGTTATCTTCATGTTAGTTCTTGTACTTTATTTTAATTAAAGCTTTAATACCCATACCAGCTGTCTCTGCTATACATTTTTACTTCAAGTGGGTTTTTCATCATCATTAAAAGCAGAAATCAATTTAAAAGCGAGTTACAAGAGTGGAAAAGTATCATTCATCATCTGATTTTCTTGGTACTTATAGAAAGGTAATTTTTCCATGAAACATGTAATCAGGATTTATACACTTATCAGTTAGAAGTAAATCATTCACAAGACTTGTGATTTCTCAAATTTCATTCTCTTTTTGTAAGTTTTTTCTTTTCTTTTGTTAATGTACAAGTATATTAGTGTTGGAAAACTTTGTGATATCGTCTAAAGACTTTTCTTTGGAATGTATTATCTTAGGAATTAATGTGTACATATATACCGGTGCCACCTTTAAACAAAGTTCTGACAAGACCATTTGGTCCTTCTGAGGAAATCATCAATTGACCTCCTGTAAAATGCTGGTCTCACTGCTGTCTGCCAACAGCAATACATTGCATAAACTGATCACTCTGTTAGAAAAATAAAACTGTTATAACTGGAGCCTAGCCAAGTCCAAATTTCTATGGAACATAGCACTAATAAATCAGAGTTTTTTTATCCTATGTACTTATAGGATTGTAAAGAAAATAAACGATATGTTGCACGTGATTAATCACAATAATTTTTTACTTTAAATTTTGTAGTGAAACAAATTAAATTACTTGGATTTCTTTTACAATTTTCTGAAGCACAGTAAAAAAAAAAAGGTCTCAAAATTTTTTCTTTTGCAGATAATTGTTACAGTTTCATTGTTGAACAACAACCCATTGGTCGCCTTCTCTTCAGGCAGTTTTGTGTAACCAGAGCTAATTACAATAAGTGTAATGATTTTCTTGATGCTGTGGTAAGTCTTCTTTAGTTCTCCAAGCAAGTTGGACATAAAAAATAAAACTTTGTTTTCTCATCTTAGCCATACATGAAGCTATTTGGGAAAAAAGTGTCAAAGAAATATTTTTATTTAACATCAGCAACTTTCCTGGGTATAATCAGACCGATAACATTTGCTTTCAAGAATGCTGATATTAAATGATTGTGAGAATCATATATTCTCTGTTTCCATTTCTTAAGTACTTATCAAGTCACATGATTGCTGGTGTTATGATAACACTAAATATTATAGAAATGTAAAAAACGAGGTTGAAGTTGTTATAAAATTTGTATACATGATGTTAAGAAAATATATAGGTTCAAAACTCAGTTTAACACTGAAATACAAAACCTTGTATCTTAAAGACTTTTGAAAGTTGGATCTTTTTTCATCTTTCAAAAGTGCTCAGGCTGTAGAGTTTTATGTTTTTGTATATATATGTTTGTGTGTGTGTGTATACACACATTTTAAGGTAACTTAAGTTATCTTGTTTTCAACAAGACTGAAGATGTTATACCTTAACAGAAACAGAAATAACTAATAATGGTTTTATAGTAATAATGCTCGTATCTTATTATAGGACAAGAAGAAAAAGTAATAATTTTATTTAAATAATTATTACAATAGCATGTGATTTAAATTTTGCAAAGAAATTTCAATAATGTCTATTTCTTTAACTACATGTCATGATAATTATATATTTTATTTATCTAGAAATGGAGAGGTTCCTTTTAAGACTGCCTGTTAGAAATATGCTGATAAGGAGTTTTGATGCTGAAAAACACTGAGATTTTATTGTTGTTGTTTTTTTCAGGCAAAGTATGAAGTTACATTAGATGATCAGCGAAGGCTCGTTGCTGGGAAGCTGTTTGATAAATACCTCACAAAAGATGTATGTGTGTGTGTGCTGAGTTGATAAGAGAAATGATTTAAATGTTTTGATTTTATCAATCAGAGTAAAGTGTGCTGATAAATGATTTAGATGTTTTGATTTTATGAATCAGAGTAAAGTGTGCTCATAAATGATTTAGATGTTTTGATTTTATCAGTCGGAGTAAAGTGTGCTGATAAATGATTTAGATGTTTTGATTTTATCAGTCGGAGTAAAGTGTGCTGATAAATGATTTAGATGTTTTGATTTTATGAATCAGAGTAAAGTGTGCTCATAAATGATTTAGATGTTTTGATTTTATCAATGGGAGTAAAGTGTGCTAATAAATGAATTAGATGTTTTGATTTTATCAGTCGGAGTAAAATGTGCTGATAAATGATTTAGATGTTTTGATTTTATCAGTCGGAGTAAAATGTGCTGATAAATGATTTAGATGTTTTGATTTTATCAGTCGGAGTAAAGTGTGCTCATAAATGATTTAGATGTTTTGATTTTATCAATCAGAGTAAAGTGTGCTGATAAATGATTTAGATGTTTTGATTTTATCAATCAGAGTAAAGTGTGCTGATAAATGATTTAGATGTTTTGATTTTATCAATCAGAGTAAAGTGTGCTCATAAATGATTTAGATGTTTTGATTTTATCAATCAGAGTAAAGTGTGCTGATAAGTGATTTAGATGTTTTGATTTTATCAGTTGAAGTGTGCTGATAAATGATTTAGATGTTTTGATTTTATCAGTCAGAGTAAAGTGTGCTCATAAATGATTTAGATGTTTTGATTTTATGAGTCGGAGTAAAGTGTGCTCATAAATGATTTAGATGTTTTGATTTTATCAGTCGGAGTAAAGTGTGCTAATAAATTAGTGTAGTTTACTGTAAGTAGTTGTTAGATATGTGTAAGTATACACATATTAAATAGTGTGTTTAATAGCTCTAAACAGAGTGCCCAAGTCTTTAGTTCGATACTATTTATGCAATGATTTGAAAACATTGTTTGTTTGTTTTATTAGTTAATTGTAACAAATTCCAACATAGTGAAGTATTATTTAAAAGTCAAAAGCATGAAAAAAATTAAAATACAATATGTTTAGAGACAGATAATGAGGTCAGAAAAGTAGATTGTAAGAAGTAGTACAAACCAGTCAAACAAACGTGACTTTAAAAGTAGAAGTTAAAGTTGTTTTTATAGTCCTAGTTCAGAAATAGAAGTTCAGGTAATAACTGGAGAAAAAATCCTCCAAAAAAAGTGAAGTTATTCATTCTTACAGTAATTATAATGTTGTTATTATTTCAGTCTAAAGATTATGTGAAAGTGGTGGATGAAAAAATTATAGAATCATGTAAAGACAAAATTAATGCTGCCAGCAAAGAGCTGTTTCTAGAATGTACAAGGTAGGATTGTATTATATATATATTTGTGATTAAGTTTTATCAAAGTTACAAATTTCTGTTTTATCTTTATTGAGGACTGTTTTATCAGACAGTGTTAGTTTTGTAACCTTAAGTGTGATAGAAAACAACTTGAGGGAACTGTAGTGTCTAAAATTAACTGTAATTACTAAATTTATGTGCTCTGTTTACTCCTGTGTTATGTACAATCAAGTGGTTATGGAGTCCTTTACAATTCTGAGGGTTGACAACCATGATTCTCCGTTGTTCTCTGTTCATTTTTCTTATCTCCAATCCTATTTTTAACGTTTTTAAGCCAAATGAGTCTCTGCTTTTCTTTGTTCAATATTTACCCATCAAAATCCCTGCCAACCTCCCCTCATAACAGTGTTTTTTTACTGTGTATAAAAGGCTATTTTATTTTTTAGGGCTGTCAAAGAATTCCTAGCAGGGGAGCCATTTAAAGCATTTGAAGATAGTATGTACTATCATCGCTATCTTCAGTGGAAATGGCTAGAAAGGTGAGAATATTATGATGTTCTATGTTTTGTTGTTAAAGTAAAATTATTTGAAGGATATTCTTCAGATGTTTATAGTTAAACAGGAAGGTTTGTAAAGGTTATTTCTAACCAACAAATTATTGTATGTGTCGGAGATATTGATAGAGGTCAATTGAATAAATCTTTGTCTTATTAATATTATCAGTTTTCATTTACAGCCTTTAAGTAACCAATATTAATTAGTTCTTGTTGCAGAGTTTCTTATTAAAACTTAAAATTTGTTTTTGAAGGAAAACAAACAGTTTATGTGTTGTTAACAAAGTTTTGATAGTTGTAAAGTTTTTTAATGTGGATTATTTTATTTATATGTGTATCACCGATAACTCTGGACAACAAAAGTTTTTGTATGTTGGGAATGGCTAGATATGATCTTTATTAATTCAACTCTTGTATATATTTCCTTTATTAGTCTAATTAATTTTTTTCTCGGTTTATTTTTCAGCTCTCCAATTACAAGCAAAACATTTCGCATGTATCGTGTTTTGGGAAAAGGAGGTTTTGGAGAAGTCTGTGCCTGTCAAGTACGAGCAACGGGAAAAATGTATGCTTGCAAAAAGCTAGAAAAAAAGAGAATAAAGAAACGGAAAGGCGAATCAATGGTTCTCACCGAAAAACAGATTCTTCATAAGATCAATTCAAATTTTGTGGTAAAGTAACACTAAATAATGTTGTTAAAGTACTTATTCACCCAAATATTAAGTTAATTTAAAAGGTGATTTGATTGAATACTAAGTACATTTTTTGAGACAAGTACGTCTCGGTGGCTTGGAGGTAAAAATCAAACCACTTCTGGGATTAACTCTACAGATTTGTGGACTAGAAAAAAAGCAAATTGAATGATATATAGAATTTTTCAAACTTCCTTACAGTTTTCTGAGCTAAGTATTCAAGTAAAGACAGTGTTATCTTTGTGACTATAATATTTGTACATTGAATTGTTACAACTTCAGTTATAGGAAAATTGTGACATGAAAGAAGTGAATTAAACTTTACACAAAAAAGAAGTTTTTTTATCAAGAGGCAAAGCACACGTTCTCCTCCCTCTAGTTATGGAGTCCTATCTTGTCACTATCTTTTAAACTACGACCGCAGTTGGTCGTCAGAAATCTACTGCTATTTTTGATATGAATTTTATTTGTTAATTAATTAAATTTTCACCTTATTTGATTATAAGTATTGTAAATAAGAAGGATTTCACTCTTAATATAAAGAAGAGAACATGAAGACCGCTAATCACTGCTCGATGCTATAGCAACAGGGCAAACAAATTCAAGCCCAGCCTCACATCTACACCTAGTACATAAATACACAAACTAAGCAAATTAATTCAAATTAACTATTGTTTTCTCAAAATGTTTTATAAGAAATTAATAATAAAATTAAAAGTTTAACTACAGTTGTTAAGAAATAAAGGTTTAACTTAGTAAGCCAGATCCTTCTTTTCTTGTTAATATACTTGATTAAAAAAGTTTGTTTGAAGACAGTGAAGTTAGGTATTTTGTTTAATTAGTTAATGACTAAACAGGTAATGAGTAGGCATACTATTTACTATTTCCTTGACAGGGTAAAAATGTAAACTTAAATTAATATAAATTTGCAAAATCTTAAGTAAATTGATACAAGATGACTATTGTATTGTCCCCATTCCCCATCAGTGGCTCAGCAATAAGTCTGAGGGCTTATATTGCTAAAAACCAGGATTTGATACCCGTGGTAGGCACAGCACAGATAGCCCATTCTGTAGCTTTGTGCTTAACAACAAACAAATAAAAAGACTACTCAAAATTAAAGATAATATATGCAAGAAACTAAGAAATATTAATTAGGACTTAAAAAAAAACAAAATTTCAAGACCTTAGCTTTCAGATGTCTTTACTCTTCAGTATGTCAGTGATTAATAACTTAAATTTATTCAATAGCATTGTTGTAGTTTTTAATTTTAGAGTTGATATTATACTCGGGCCTATAAACAAAGAAAATCCGTTCATATATTGATGACGTTGCTTTGCTAACTGTCTCGAGCTTTTGTCTTACGTAATGCTACATGAAACAAAAACAGACTGATGATAGAGCAATAAACTGACATAACATGATGACCAGCTTCGAAGTAAATCAGCCTTAATAGAATAGACTGTAGCCACAGATAATCATTGAGTTTGTGAACTTTAATAAAAACAGAGAGTTATTTTTCTTCTGGTATTTAAGATTTAGCATCTGTGAAATATCTGTGCTATGACTGTTTTATTATTATTACATGATTTAATCCTCTAGAAATGTTGATCATTTTCACTTTATTTCTTTCCAGGTGAGTTTAGCTTATGCTTTTGAGACAAAGGAAGCTTTATGTCTTGTACTGACACTGATGAATGGCGGAGACTTGAAGTTTCATATCTACAACATGGGTGGGAAACGAGGTTTTGGTGTAGATAGGGCTCGTTTCTATGCTGCTGAAATAACACTTGGATTAGAACATTTAAATAATCAAGGCATTGTTTACAGGTAGATTATCTACTTTTGTGACACACTTGGAATAAGCATTATAACTGTGTGTCAAGTATTTTTTTCATTTAATAACCCAATCTGCACTGGATAAATACTGGATATGACCTTAGAGGTAAGAACTGTTAGTGTCCCAACCAGAAAACTGTAAGTAGCTGTAGGAGTAAATACTGAATATATTCTTGGGGGTAAGCACTGGAAGTTCTATAGGTAAACAGTGTAGTGTTTGTAGAAGTAAATACTGGAAGCAGCCTCTAGGGGTAGTTACTGGGGTAAATACTGGAATCAGCCTCTAGGGGTAATTACTGGGGTGAGTACTGGAAGTTCTATAGGTAAACATCGTAGTGTTTGTAGAAGTAAATATTGGAAGCAGCCTCTAGGGGTAATTACTGGGGTGAGTACTGGAAGCATTTACTCCTCTAGGGACAGTTGAGCATATAAGATAATTAATAATCTTTCTAATAATGTGAACATTATTTGTACCATTAATTATATGAATGACTTGTTTCCATTTTGAAGAATACCATTAACTAATACAGTTGATATTTCATCAAAGTCTCGTCTCAGATTAAAAGTGTTAAGACCATCATTATGTTAATTTGGAGTTAAAAGTTTAAAATATGTAGCTGTATTAGATGAAACTTAATTACAGAGGCTATAAATATCTTTTTGCTTGTAATCACTGAGGATCGGGTCCATAGACTGTGCACTTTGGATCCTTGTAGGTTAAGCCAGAACATTGTGAAGAAACGCACATTAAAATAGGTAACATTTCTTCCACGTTAACTTGAAGTTCATCAGGAATTAACGTGGGCAGTATAAATATCAAGATTAATAAAACAAAAGGCAATATGTTAGAATGTATATTGCTGATGTTCGACCTTTAATATTTGTTATATTTTTTTATCTGTAGGGATTTAAAACCAGAAAATGTCCTATTGGATGACCATGGTGAGCTTTTTGTGAAAAATATTTTATCTCAATACATAGTACCAGGTTTTTTTATGTTTTAACTAGAAGTGTAAACAGTTTGATTATTAACTTTTGTATACTTTCTACATAATAGATAGAACTAGGAATGAATGACTGTTTATATACACACACACACACATGTGTATATATATAAGTTAATCTATCAATTTAAATTATTTCATGGACTTTGAAAAGGTTAATTGTGTTACACTCTTGGTTTCATTCAGAGCCAAAGCTCTGAGCTACTTATACCACTCACCACGAAAAGTAATTGTTGAGCATTTCAGTCATGCTAAGAGCTGCTCAACAATAACATACGGTAAATCTACATTTATATCGTTTAAGTTACGTCACATTTTAAAATGTTAATGACAGTGTGATTAATTCCTAACAATTTAGTGTAAAATATCCTGCTTGTGAAATAAAATTTGACCTCAACATTATTCATGCCTGTTCTCTCATCATTTCAAAAGTGAATGTTGAGCTTTGCCTGCATGTGCAGCTTTTCAAACGCAGTGCGGGAAGTGGCCACCGTAAACAGGAGACAGACGAATGCTCGGGTGGACACGGTTCACAACATATATGTATTTGCTGATTATTTTGTATGATAAATTCACTTGGTATATCTCATACAAAGTTTTCAATATGAACTTATAATACAATACATACATGGTTAACACTTTTCTGTTCAATTTTAGGGCACATAAGAATATCTGACCTTGGTTTAGCAGTTGAAGTACCACTTGGTGAAACAGTGAAAGGACGGGTAGGAACAGTAGGATACACGGGTAAGTCATGCACCCAGGATAGGAATTGTAGGATACACGGGTAAGTCATGCACCCAGGATAGGAATTGTAGGATACACGGGTAAGTCATGCACCCAGGATAGGACTTGTAGGATACACGGGTAAGTCATGCACCCAGGATAGGAATGGTAGGATACATGGGTAAGTCATGCACCCAGGATAGGTATGGTAGGCTACATAGGTAAGTTATGCACCCAGGATAGGTATGGTAAGATACATGGGTAAGTCATACACCCAGGGTAGGAACAATAGGATACATGGGTAAATCATGCACTCATGAGAGGAATGGTAGGATACACGGGTAAGTCATGCACCCAGGGTAGGAACAATAGGATACACGGGTAAGCCATGTACCCAGGCTAGCAACAATAGGATACATGGGTAAGTCATGCACCCATGGGAGGAATGGTAGGATACACGGGTAAGTCATGCACCCAGGGTAGGAATGGTAGGATACATAGGTAAGTCATGCATCCAGGATAGGTATAGTAAGATACATGGGTAAGTCATGCACCCAGGATAGGAACAGTAGGATACATGGGTAAGTCATACACCCAGGATAGGAACAGTAGGATACATGGGTAAGTCATACACACAGGATAGGAATGGTAGGGTACATAAGTAAGTCATGCACCCAGGATAGGTATGGTAGGGTACATAAGTAAGTCATGCACCCAGGATAGGTATGGTAGGATACATGGGTAAGTCATACACCCAGGATAGGAACAGTAGGATACATGGGTAAGTCATACACACAGGATAGGAATGGTAGGGTACATAAGTAAGTCATGCACCCAGGATAGGAATGGTAGGGTACATAAGTAAGTCATGCACCCAGGATAGGTATGGTAGGGTACATAAGTAAGTCATGCACCCAGGATAGGTATGGTAAGATACATGGGTAAGTCATGCACCCAGGATAGGTATGGTAAGATACATGGGTAAGTCATACACCCAGGATAGGAACAGTAGGATACATGGGTAAGTCATTCCACCAGTATTAAACGGTTTATTTGATTCAGAAACTAGCTGTAATCATTTTTTGTTTGTATTAACCTGTTCCATAGCTTAGAAAGTGGAAATTAATTGTACAATTTCTTAAATGAGAAATTTGATTTATGTTTAAAACTGATATGATTTATAGAGTAAACAGCTTTGTTTGTTTACTAGTCTGAAAGAACTGTTAGTTTTAATATTCTAATGAGAAACGTTTTTTTTTTTCAATGAGAAATGAGAATGAATGTTTATAAAGTAAACATTTAGGTTTAGTGACGTGTCAACACTTAATGCCACAAACTTAAAGTTCTATAAACTGCTATATTAAAACAAGTAGACAATATTTACTTTGTAATTTTAAGCACTTGCAGCAGGTAAAGCACTGTGAGCATGAATGTGAATTATGTTAGGGCTACACCCTGTGTTTGTGTGTCACAACAGAAATAACCTCAGTGATACTCATCATGTCTGGTTCACAGTTCAGTTAAAGGTTTACATAATTTTTTGTGTGTGTTTGTGTTTGCCACAACAGATGTAACCTCAGTGATACTCATCATGTCTGGTTCACAGTTCAGTTAAAGGTTTACATAATTTTTTGTGTGTGTGTTTGTGTTTGCCACAACAGATGTAACCTCAGTGATACTTGTCATGTCTGGTTCGCAGTTCATTAGTGGAGTTAAAGGTTTACTTAATTTTTTGTTGTGTGTGTGTGTGTGTGTGTGTTTGCCGCAACAGTTGTAACTCAATGATACTCGGCATGTCTGGTTCACAGTTCATTAGTGGAGTTAAAGGTTTACATAATTTCTTTTGTGTGTGTGTTTGCCGCAACAGATGTAATCTCAGTGATACTCGTCATGTCTGGTTCACAGTTCATTAGTGGAGGTAAAGGTTTACATAATTTTTTTTGTGTGTGTGTGTGTTTGCCACAACAGATGTAACCTCAGTGATACTCGTCATGTCTAGTTCACAGTTCAATAGTGGAGTGAAAGGTTTACATAATTTCTTTTGTCTTTACAGCACCAGAAGTGATAGACAATGAAAGGTACTCGTTTAGTCCAGACTGGTTTAGCTTGGGTTGCGTGATTTATGAAATGATTGAAGGAAAGGTACGATGACTTTTTTCGTCCTGTTGTTTTGCATAATTTTAAATAAATAACATTTCTCAAAGCTAGGATAGACAAGGTAATTGTCATGAAAAGATGGTTAAAATTTCTGTCAGTGAAGAAGGTCTAACTAAGTAATGTTTCAGACAAAATAAAAAGACCACCTTCAGGACCAAGGTGATGCTATGTTGAAAATGTTTTTAACATCATTTTTTCTTGTTGCTGTTTTCTGAAAACGTATTTGAACTTCACATACTTAATGTAAAAACATCCTGAAAAAAAACTGTCAACCCTCTTAGTTGATACACTTTTTGATATCATTAATTTTTAATTATATTTTTGTAACAGCTGACCAAGAAAAATAAAAGTAAACAAATTTTGAGATGTATTATTATCATAAGAGTACTGTCGTATAGCTAATGAGTTACATCATTACCATCATTAGTCCTAATACAACAATCAATCTGCTAGTTGACAGGAGGATTTGATATGTTGTCCATTGTACAGTAGTGTTAGTTGAGAGGAGTTGATATCTAATAACTAGTTTACAAGAGACAATATTGTATTTTCTGAGTACTTGCCGATGAGAAGATGGATACTTCTATGGTTTCTAGATAGTTGAATAATTTGAAACCAGGTGAAGTTTTAGTTCTATGGAACCTCTTGAATAGTAATTCTGTAATTATTTACAAGCATACTTAGTGTTTCAGTATTGTGATAGGGTTGTCTTCATTATGCCAGTTTGAAATTTGTGTGGTCATAGGAGAACTTGCACTTCTGACTTGATTTGCAGGTAGAGCTTGGGTTAGTTTAGTAAGCAGAGCTATGAAGTAACTTTCATTGTCCACACTGTCTGTGGTAACATAGTTATAAAATGTCAGTTGCTATTATAGGTTTTTACCGACTGTGGTAACATCGTTATAAAATGTCAGTTGCTATTATAGGTTTTTACCGACTGTGGTAACATCGTTATAAAACGTCAGTTGCTATTATAGGTTTTTATGGACTATGGTAACATAGTTATAAAACGTCAGTTGCTATTATAGGTTTTTATGGACTATGGTAACATAGTTATAAAACGTCAGTTGCTATTATAGGTTTTTACCGACTGTGGTAACATAGTTATAAAACGTCAGTTGCTATTATAGGTTTTTACCGACTGTGGTAACATGGTTATAAAACGTCAGTTGCTATTATAGGTTTTTACCGACTGTGGTAACATGGTTATAAAATGTCAGTTGCTATTATAGGTTTTTAGCAACTGTGGTAACATAGTTATAAAACGTCAGTTGTTATTATTGTTTTTTTTTTAAAGTTGACCACATTTTTTCTGTCGTAGTTAGTGTTTCCAGATAGTTGCCATACGGTAACTGTATTTGATAAATCAACATTACATGAAAAAACAGGATGGTAGCTCTGTGACTTGTATCGGAACAATAATAAAATATTCATGTAATTAAGAACCAGTTGTATATTATTTGTCTTTATACAAATCTTAAGGCTGAATTAGTATAAAAATAACAGTTCAGTTTGAATAAATTACATGTTTGTTTTATGGTAAACTGTATGGAATGATGGTATTAGATGATCACTGTGTGTGTTGTTTCTTTGTATAGTTTTTACATGATCAAGGGTTTGCATCTATCTAAGTGGTACATGTTTAGACTATGTTAGTGACTTACGGTAGCTACTGAGGTACAAAATAATTTTTATGTGTTGTTTTTTTTCAAAGATTTAACATTATTAAGAAACTGATAAATGTGAAGAAAAATTACATACATTTTGCTATTTAATCGTGTTCAATAGTTTAATATTTTGGTTCTTTAAAGTAACATTTTTATTTTGTTATTAGGCACTCTTTTCAGCAAGGAGAGAAAAAATAAAACGCGAAGTAATTGAAAAAAAGGTGAAGGAGAAACAAGAGCAGTACTCCAGTAAATTTACTGAAGAAGCAAAGGATACTTGTCAATCTGTAAGTCAGTAAAGGATAATTGTCAGTCTGTAAGTCAGTAAAGGATACTTGTCAGTTTGTAAGTCAGTAACGGATACTTGTCAATCTGTAAGTTAGTAAAGGATACTTGTCAATCTGTAAGTCAGTAAGGGATACTTGTCAGTTTGTAAGTCAGTAAAGGATACTTGTCAGTCTGTAGGTCAGTAAGGGATACTTGTCAGTCTGTTAGTCAGTAAGGGATACTTGTCAATCTGTAAGTTAGTAATGGATACTTGTCAGTTTGTAAGTCAGTAAAGGATACTTGTCAATCTGTAGGTCAGTAAGGGATACTTGTCAATCTGTAAGTTAGTAATGGATACTTGTCAGTCTGTAAGTCAGTAAAGGATACTTGTCAGTTTGTAAGTCAGTAAAGGATACTTGTCAATCTGTAAGTCAGTAAAGGATACTTGTCAATCTGTAAGTCAGTAAAGGATACTTGTCAGTCTGTAAGTCAGTAAAGAATACTTGTCAGTCTGTAAGTCAGTAAAGAATACTTGTCAGTCTGTAAGTCAGTAAACAGATGTTTAAAATCAGTTCAAATCAACATTTACTTATTGTGTAGAATGTTTGAACATTTAATATTGGCAGCAAAAACAAACTAAACTAAAATATGGTTCTCATAAAGAAAGTATTTGATGGACTTGAAACTGGTTTGGTATAAAAAATTATACATTGTGTAAGAACCATTTGATTTGAAGAAAAGGAGAATTTATTAAAGCTCTGAAAAAGCATATTCTGTATCTTTGAAATGATGAGCCGAAGGAGAAGTAAAGTCCTCGGAAGTTTTGTAGCACATGACTGGTTCTTATCACAAAGGATATGGTCAAGTTTTCTACAAAACTTATCAAATATAGAAACATTTTGTATCTATGTTAAAGAATTAGCTAAGCTACAACAATAAAAATGTAAATTTATTTTAGTAATTTTAATTCAGCGACAAGTGAAGACTTGATTACTGTTGAATACTAATAATAGAAACTGTCCATGGACTTGTAGTTGCTGAAGAAAAACCCATCCGAAAGATTAGGATGCAACAGTGATCGACGTGGTGCTGAAGAAGTGAAACGTGCCAGTTTTTTTAGAACAGTTAACTGGAAGAGGCTCGAGGCAAGAATGTTAGACCCACCATTTGTTCCTGATGTAAGTGTTACTGTTGTAATAGTGGGATATAGGCTCAAAAATATAACCTGCTAACATACAAAATACAGTAACAAAAGTAAATCTTTTAGGATTACATATATTATTATTAATGATATAACTTTATCACATTAATTTATTTTTAGTGTTATTATTGATATAAATATGTTAATTTATAATTATTGTTATTAATGATACAAATGTCATGTTAAGTTATATTTAGTTGCTAGTGTTATAAATATGTCATATTGATTTTTATTTAGTGCTATTAATGATATAATGTATCATGTATTATTATATTTAATAAATAAATAATAATTAATAAATTTTATATAGTGTTATTAACAGTATAAGTATGCCATGTTAAGTTGCATTTAGTGAGAGTTTTCTTGTTTCTATGGTTTGTTGAAAATTGAAACAAAACTTTTAAAAGTAAAAAAATGTTCAGCTTACACTTTATTCATTACATCTGCTTACACAGTAATATAGTTTCGTCTTTTACTTTTGCGGTTTATAGTAATTTTTAAAGTGTTATATCATAACTTTAGCTAAAAATAATTTGACTTGTTGATTATAATTCTAATAATTATAGTATTTTGGCACTAGTAACGTCGAAACATGTAGAGTCGTCAACTTTTTGAAGGCCATAGATAGGCCTAAATAAAATGTTTTTAATTGTGTACCAGTTTAAATTATTTATGATATTATATCACAGTAGTTTGAATGTTGAAAAAAACATGTTTCAGAGTTAGTAACGTAACTTCTAAATTTACTTTATATTTCTTATTTTAAAAACTTTTATTGAAGATGATTTTTTTTTATGTCTGTGTGCATCCTCCTTTTAGCCCCGTGCTGTTTATGCCAAGGATGTGTTAGACATAGAACAATTCTCTACTGTGAAAGGAATGAATCTCGACAATGATGATACAAATTTTTACAATAAGTTTAACACCGGCCGTATCTCGATACCCTGGCAAGATGAGGTGTGAAAAATAATTTTCTTGTACATTAATATGTTAACTTTCTGAACTGTGGTTAATGATAACAAAAAAAGATAAAGAAAAATGTCAATAAATATTTCAGTAAAATTTTAAACAGATAATTATATTGATAATTATTGTATCAATGTTAAGTTTTGTTTTTTATAAAGCTGTATGATGGTATTTTATAAGTTAATTCACTGAAACTTCAAACCAATGTGTGTAACTTCAGTTGCTATGTCAGTAGCATAGTACAAAGTTAAGTTTGCTTTTTAAACCAAGGTGTATGCCCCACATTTTGTCACTTAAATCAAGGAATACCCCATATTTTATCTCCAAAATAAGAATTTCTTACAACTCTTTACCTAGTAATACCCTACAGTCTTTTACACAGTGTTGCTTTTTGCTCAATAATACCCTACAGTTTTTTACACAGTTTTTAACTTGACAACACCTTTTCTGCCATAAAGTAGCTGCTTTCACTCCAACAATATCCTCATGGGGTATCTTATATTGATGAATGAACATTGTTGTTTAAAGATAACTGGTACTGATGAATGAACATTGTTGTTTAAAGATAACTGGTACTGATGAATGAACATTGTTGTTTAAAGATAACTGGTACTGATGAATGAACATTTTTATTTAAAGGTAACTTGTACTGATGAATGAACATTGTTGTTTAAAGATAACTGGTACTGATGAATGAACATTGTTGTTTAAAGATAATTGGTACTGATGAATGAACATTGTTATTTAAAGATAACTGGTACTGATGAATGAACATTATTGTTTAAAGGTAACTGGTACTGAGGAATGAACATTGTTATTTAAAGATAACTGGTACTGATGAATGAACATTGTTGTTTAAAGATAACTGGTACTGATGAATGAACATTATTGTTTAAAGATAATTGGTACTGATGAATGAACATTGTTGTTTAAAGATAACTGGTACTGATGAATGAACATTGTTGTTTAAAGATAACTGGTACTGATGAATGAACATTATTGTTTAAAGATAACTGGTACTGATGAATGAACATTATTGTTTAAAGATAACTGGTACTGATGAATGAACATTATTGTTTAAAGATAACTGGTACTGATGAATGAACATTATTGTTTAAAGATAACTGGTACTGATGAATGAACATTGTTGTTTAAAGATAACTGGTACTGATAAATGAACATTGTTGTTTAAAGATAACTGGTACTGATGAATGGACATTGTTGTTTAAAGATAACTGGTGCTGATGAATGAACATTATTGTTTAAAGATAACTGGTACTGATGAATGAACATTGTTGTTTAAAGATAACTGGTACTGATGAATGAACATTATTGTTTAAAGATAACTGGTACTGATGAATGAACATTATTGTTTAAAGATAACTGGTACTGATGACTGAACATTATTATTTAACTCTTTCAGTATGGGCTCGGTCCCTGGGACTGACCTCGTAACCATTTTGTGCTCGTTCTAGTTTCTTGCTATAACTTTTAAATTAGTAAGTGAATGTTAACGAAATTTGGCAAATTATCAATAAACATTACAGTTCTTTCTTATGCAAAATATCAAATTTTTTTATTAAGTCTTAAGGTTTGTTAAGCGGTGTTTTTCTCATGCCTTTTTTTTCTTTTTGCATATTACCTATCCAACATGCAAAGTAATTTTCATTTTAAGATTAAAAATACACGTTCATTCAACATACCACGTGACACACAAAAATCAATGTTTAACTGTGTTTTTTAATATTTACTTTTAAATTTAAAAATTGAATAATGTATAATACT